TTCTTCACAGGCCGACGCACACGTCAAGGCGAGTGTCGTTAACCGCGTGGTGGCGCTTTTGACGAGCGGGACGACCGCGGTGAGTTCCTGCCTTTGTTTTCTTCCGTTGCGAGTCCCGACGTGGGGAGCGTGACTTGGATAATAGTCGCCAGCAGTGGGCGATAGCAGGAGTCGCGTGCGGGAGTACAAGAGCGTGGCTTTGGGGAGAGAGACCTTCTGGGGAAGCGGAAGGCTCGGAGCTTGCTGTCTCCAGATCGACCGGTCTCGGGCTTGGACCCGAGCAGGGAGAACACATCTCGAGACCCGACAGATTTGTCGAGCCAGGCGCCGCTCTTCTGGCAAAAAAGATGGGACCGCAGAACTGGTGGAATCTTATTTGACATGTACCTTCTCCTCACCGCGTACCTCGCTATTGCGTCTCATGCCCGTAGCCACGGTGCCTCTCCTCATAACGACCACCTTCCTGCTACCTTCATTTGTCGAAAATGATGCTGATACGACCCTTCTACAGGCGAGACATGAATGTCCTGAAGATCGGATCCCAGCTGAAGTAGGTGTGTATCCATGTCCTTCTCGTCCATCCTCTCACCCTCTCCCCACGCCATCTTCTTGCTCGCCCCGCGCTTCCCTGACTCATCACCATCCCCAGGTCCGCGAACGCCTCGCCAAAGGTCTGGGCGACAAGGGCGTCCTCCGCACGGAGAAGCGCAACTTTTTGCTGTTCGATATGGCTACCCAGTGGTACGTGGCCTCCGTCTTTTTTATCCCTTCTTGTCACTCTGCGGAAGACTGGGAGATCGGGGAGGCCCCGCGAGTGCTGTCCGTGTCTTTGGAGGCCTGGGCTAGGTCTCGTGGCTAGGTTTCGGGATGCAGTGCGTTTCGTGGGCGCTGGGGCACCTTCGCCCCTGCCTCCGCCTGCTCCCGCTTCGGCATTGGACCATTTCTCCCAGCGCGGCTGTGAGAGCGGGAGGCGGGAAATGCATCATGGAGAGTGATGCATGCCGCCTCTTCGCTCCGTTTGGGGTCACGGGCTCGGGGAGCAAGATCAGTCTCTTTGCGTCCTGAAGGGGCACGGCTTCACCGCCGTTCCGGGCTCTGGCTCGACGCGCTGGTGCTCTTTTGAGGACATGTCCCAGGGTGCAGGGGTCGTATGGAGGATGGGAAGTTTTGGTGACGATATTGGGGATTCTCTTGGGGTCACCGGTCAGGGATGACCTTCGTTTCCCATCTTCCTCGTTGTGCTCCATGGCCGTCGCTACAGACTCTGGGGGTGAGGTTTCTGCCCCCAGATGCAGCACCTCCACAGCGCCCCTAGGGCGTTCCCGGCCTCCACCTGGTCCTCGTCCCCTCTCCTCTGTCGTCGTTCCCTTCTCCTTCGACTTCTTCCTTCCACTTTTGCTATGTACGCTGACACCCTTCCTTCCTCTTTCCCAGGCCGACGCACACATCAAGCTTTCAAGCTCAAGGCGGGTGTCATCAACCGCATGGTGGCGCTTCTGACGACCGGGACGACTGCGGTGAGTTCTCGCCTTTTTTCTCTTTCGTCCTTTTGGGGATGTGAGTAGTGGGCCCGCGCGCGTGGGAGCGCGACGGGTCGGGATAGTCGCTGGGAGTGGATGATAACGGGCGCCCGTATCCTTAATCGGGATGCCTCCCTCTGGGGTGGCGGGCACGTGGGGAGCCCGATGTGTGGAGTGTGCATGGATAGTCGCCAGTGATCGACGATACCGCAGCACGCTCTCTGCAGGCACTCTTCCTTGCTGCCGCGGGAGCCTGGTCTTCTGGAGGCTCTTTCGGGGAGCCTGTCCTGGCAACGGAAGGCTGGTGGCTCCCCTTTCACATGTCGGTTGGAGCTCGGAACCGGACAGATAAAGCTCTGACGCAGGGTGTGCCATTTTCTCCTTTAAGTAGATTGTTACATTGTGCTTTACACAGGGGGGAATCTTATGGCTTCGGGTCCACACGAGAGAAAAAACTATGAGAGAGAGAAAGAACACGACATCAGTACAATTACTACATATGGCAGGTCCCGATTTCATGCACCTCCCACAAAAGTGGCTCGCAGACACTATACCCTTTAGCCTTCCAAACCGGAAATCTCGCCCTCTACCCGAACCGCCTCTTCTTCGCGTCCAAACACCCTCAAATCCTTCCCCAGCTGCCTCAAAGCATCGACTCGAAGCTGAATTAAAGCCGGCCTCGTCGGCGTGACGGTTCCATATAATCTGACAACCTCCTCCTGCGCTCTCAGCGCCTCTTCCTGCCATCCGACACTCCTCAGATCCCTCGCAAGCCCACGCAGACTTCGAGCAGTAATACCCGCGTCGACCGTCGTCAGGCCGGCGAATATGTGAGCCGCCTCTGATTCCACAAAACCCGCTTCTCCCTGTCGATCTACTGTCCTCAGGAAGACTGCCTGCGAGGACAGCACGGTGGCGAGTCCGGCTTTGAGTTCCAATTTGCCGAAACGGCCGCCGTCGACGCAAGTGCGATACAGGTCGATGGATTCCGACGCTGCTTGTACAGCGTCTTCTGCACGACCAACGGCGCTGAGGCTATATGCCAGATTCTCCAGCGCGTGGGCAAACCAACGTGTAAGCAGGTTTTCTGGCGATCGGAGACGCAGTGAACCGAAGTCTGGGTTTGCAGCGATGGTTTTACGGAATAAATCCACCGATTCTTGAGCGACGCTGAGAGATTCCTCGTAGTGTCTTGGTATACGGAGATGTACACCTAGGTTTTCGAGGCACTGGGCTAAAATCAGCGAGTCAACCGAATCTGTTGGTGGGAGGGTGCGTCGCAAAGCAATAGCCTCCTTTCCAGCGAGAATAGCTTCTTCCTCGCGCCCGTCCAGCCGATGCAACTCTGACGCCAGATGATCCAGCGCGTTAGCGAGTTCCTTGTTCCCATGCTCCATCTCCCGACAAAGCTTGACCTTCTCCTCGACCACACCCAACGCCTCCTCGTACCGTCCCAGCCCGTGAAGTGTTTCCATAAGACCAAGCAATGCAAAGTCCAAGAACCTCGCAGATTCCTTGCCTTCGTCGACAGCCTGGGACCGACGAATACCAACCAACTCCTCCGCGATAATCAAAGCATCTTCATACCGACGCGACTCTATATAATGCAGCCTCAATATCCCCAATACGGTCGGCAGACCTAGCTGCACACTTGCCTCCGTCTGTGCAAGTCTGCGCGAAATGCGAGCCAGATCCTCCGTATACCGAAGCGTTCCAAGCTCCTCGCATGCATCGAACGAAAGGAGGTCTGATACGAGGTCGTTCAAAGCGAGGCTCAGATCCAGCGCAATGACGAGGTCTGTTTCTTCTGGGATCGTCTGGCGGAGCGCGTCCGCTTCTGCTTCGATGCGGAGCGCATCTTCGGGGCGGTTGGCAGCGCGAAAGAAGATGCCGAGATAGTACAGTGAGCAGGTGAGGTCCGTAGTGCAACAGGCTCAGATTTTTCAGCGAGGATGCGGAACAGCTGCGTTGCGCGTTGAGCGGTGTAAATGGCATCATCATGCCTTCCCGCGCCAGCTAGCTCCAAAGCAAGCTGTTCGAGCGCCATAGCTAGCTCCCTCATAACGCTGGAGTTGGCGTCAACGAGGCCATCGAACAGCGCGACGGCCTCCTGGGCGACCCTCAACGCCTCTGTGTACCGTCCCGGCCGCTTTAGCAACTTTCCGTACATCAAAAATGCAGACCTGAGGGCTTTCAAGTTGTCTGTGCTCAGATTGCGGGCGACTTCTTGGCGACGGAGCTGGACCGACTCGTCGTATACCTGCAGGGCCTCTTCTACACGCCCAGGCCTTTCGCTCAGATTGATAGCGAGGAGATCGAGCGAGGAAGCGAGAAAGGGTGTCATCGCCGGGTCCGTCTTTGCGAGGCCACGCCGCAGATCAACGGCTTCTTGGATAGCTTGGAGGGCTTTGTCATTCCTCGCGACATCCCGGAATCGTGAGCTGATAATATGCAGCACCAGACTTGCGAAGCAAATCCAGCACCTCCTGTCCAAGGGCAAGAGCCTCTTCGAATCTCCCTACTGCCGTGAAATGCGCGCCCAGCGTGGAGAGCGCCACAGCGAGGTTATTGACTGTGACTGGACTCGACTGTGTCTCTGCGAGCTTGCGATACAGCCGTACGGCCTCTTCTCCAGGGGGTATCGCGTCGTTAGCGCGGTGCTCCTGAGAGAGGGCTACGCCCCAGTCGTTCAGCGCCCCAGCTAGATGCTCCACCGCACCTGGGTCTTTCGCAGCAAGATTCCGCCAAACCCGAATTGTTTCCTGATCAGCTTGAGATGCTTCTTCGAGGCGTCCGAGAGCTCTGAGAGCCTTGGCTGTACCACGCAGTGCCGCACATAGCTCATCCGTGTTGGATGAAGATAGGTGGGAGAGAGTGCGGGCTGCTTCGACTGCCTCGCCGTACAACCTCAGCGAAGCCTCGTGCGTCCCTGCCTGCGAAAGTGCCAGACCCGTATTCCGGAGCGTCTTTACGAGTACTTCTCTGAGCGTCTTGGCGTCGAGGAGCCCAGTAAGTCGTTTCCAGACAAGGATAAGAGCCCTCGGATGAGTTCCACGGCTTCCGTGTTGACACGTAGGGCCTCTTCGCGTTGACCTGCCTTGAGGAGCTTCGCGCCCTCGTGGTGGAGTTGGATGGCGCGTTTCTTGTTTGCGGCGTTGGAGCCCGGGAGAGGTTCTATCAGCTGGTCCACGGCTTCCTCTGCAGTGAGCCAGGGTCAGTTCCGTCCACTGACAAGTATGAAGTGCTTGCTACCTATCACTTTGGCTGCCTCTTTGAAGAATTGAAGCATGGGTCGAGCAGCTAAGTGAAACCAGGTCGATGGATGTGGGGAGAAGACGCGATCGGGCTGCACAGCCTTTGACAGCTTGATCAGGATGAGTGTTCCGAATGTTCGGCAGTGACGTTTGAACATGGGAAACAGGGTTAAATGGCCGAAAGAAGAAGAAGAGAGAAATAAAAGGAAGGACCAAGGATGGAGTACGACCACTAGCATGATTCGAACATGCGCCCAACAAGTGGAACAGATGAATAGACTGGCTAAACTATGCAATTCTAATCTGTCGCGTTAACCACTCCGCCACAGTGCCTCAAGGTAAGCCCCATACTGTGGATCTAACACCCACCTAATACCTGGAAGTCGGTTACGCAGTAAAACCTTAACATGTCGGGCTTAACACTCCGAGTCCTGAGTTTTCGGTTGCCTCCCTCGCGATTCTTGGGTAATCGACACGCGGGCCACTACCGTAGCGTCAGTTGAATTGTGTGTAAGTATTGCACTTGAAGTTGAACCGTGCATCATGGCTCGGAGTGGATAAAAAAGTTGGCCAACGGCGAAGGCTCTTTCCATGAGTAATGCGTGATTTTCGCCGGCCTCCCCTGAATAAGGCTCTTCCAGTTCGATCCGGTACTTGTGTGTCTGGTGGTGAGAAAAAACCCCTGGGAGCTCAACTAGGAGCTTGAGTACATGAGGCTTCAATTCCAGGACGAGGCTTACAATTCAACAGGAATCGAGAAGGCACGATACAGATGTCCTGCACCAGGTTTAAAATTGTTGATCAATTTACCCTATGCCCCTAAATTCTCAGGAAGAGCAAAGCGACGAGGTCCAGATAGTCAAATTTTCTATAGTGCCAAACGCTAAAAATACCGAATCGGCGCAGACTTGGACGACAGCATGCCCCCGAGTCGAACGGTGAGTCGAACGGTTTGCGAACGGTGCGCACATATTCATTCCCAACCAATGAAGCTGGGTTTGTGGTTGCAACATTGCTAGCGCTGGCTTGGCTCGATGTCAACTCATTGAGCAGATGGACCGAAAATATTCGGTTGCTTCACCCCGCTGAAAGGTGAATTGACGCGGAGGTAGAAAATTTATGATTCAAGTGAAACGCGCATACCACACCGCTCCTCCCAGGTCAAGGACAGCCCGTGTCGAACGGCCTCTACGCTGTTGCTTTACCTCTAGTACCGGTCATGCCCTGTCCGGTCGCGCTGGCCTTGACTTCCGCAGCCCTCTTTTGCAGACTGCAGTTGGAATTGAATCTCGGACTCTAAATTGCGCCGTGCACACCGCCTGGCGCCCTCAAAACCCTTTACCATCCACTGGCCCCACTGAGTCAAACTGACTCTTTCTGCCGACTTGAACGAATGTGGAAATGAGCGCTGTGGAGAATGATCCGTCGGAGGCGCCGTCGTAATGTTTTCCCGCGTTCACGGATTGCAATTGCGTCGGCCTTTGGGCTCTGCGCAGCCTCGGTGCCTGTGTCGGAGTAGTTATTGCCGGTTTATGGAAAGATGATGGCACACTGTGGACTTGCATGAGGGCCGAGGCAGAGATCATGTTTCTCTTTGAATTGTAAATACATACTCACCGAGTTTGAACTCTCTGTGCTCGATAAAATTAGTCGTTGGCGAGCTCTAAATGGACGGACGATGTTCGAATTTAGCTCAAGACCAATGCGCCTTCCCGCCTTTGAATGAGATCAGCGCCCGTCTGTACCGCCTCCACGGGCTTTCACACTACCTCGGTCGTCCTCGAGTCATTTTACTCGCCGGGAGGAACGGTATGACACAAGGAATAAACCTTCTTGTCTTTCGACTTTCTTCGTATCTCGTTTTTTGGCTGCGCGCCGCAGTCGCTGCTGCGCTCTTGCCGAAAGCGGATCACACTCTTTGTTGGGTGGCCGGGAAGATGGGTAGTTGGCATCCGCATCTGTGGAGTTCCATTTTTTGGCGTGAGGTGGAGAGGACTTGGCTCTTCCACTCCATGAGACGACTGTACCAGTGAGCCTTGACCGACGGCAAGCCGACGGTTGATCTGGCCCCGACGGCGTGGCGCGGGATCAATCCAATCAATGCTGGCTGTGATGATGTTACGTCAGCCACTCCCGTTCTCTTCGCTGCGCACCGCAGCTCGTATATGCGTCTCTGGCTCTGCTAACGAGCAGTGGAGTCACCATAGTCGGAAAAAGAACTCGACCGTGCTTGCGATAAGTATTAAACCAGAATGCGCGACTTGGACCCACAACGTAAAATTCCGCCATGGACGACACTGGGGCAGGCTCCTCTTCGATGGTCCCGATCCAACGAGGACCCAGAGCGTGTAGCAACTGCCGGTAGTAGTCTTTCATTCATCTGCATGCGCAAGTCATCCTGACCCGACTTCCCGTCAGACGTCGAAAAATTGTGTGTTCCTATCCTTCCTGTCAATTTGTTTCAGCCTTTTATCTCACTCAGAAATGCGACGGCGCCCGCCCGAAATGCAGCCAATGTCGACTCCGTCCTCCTCGCTCGAAAATGCCTTGCGAGTACCCGCGGATAGACGGTTGGCCAGAGGACTCGCAGGCCTCGGAAATGCTCGAGACGATCCAGACTCTCCGCGCGCGCGTGGCAGAGCTCGAAAGATATGCACCACCCGATCCAGCCCGAATCTACCTTCAGCAGCCTTACGCCGCCGGGTCCGAAAGCCTCCGAGGTACGTAGTAGACGATGCTCATTCATGATTGCCTATCGAAGATTGAAAACAGATTTCGGAGAGATGAGTCTGACTACCGGGAGATCGAGTCCGTTTGACATGCCGGTACGGTCTTCATTCCGTTCATACTACTTTCTCTGATTGGGCTGCAGGAACCACCCTCGAATCTGATGGTCAACCTGTAGGTCTTTGCTATTCGTCGGCAACAAACTCCAACCTTCCTGGCAGAATAGACGCCTTCCTGAACAGGTTCTCCGGAAGCACGTACTTTTTTCTAGATGCCTCCACGTTTCGCACCGCCGCCTTGCTCCCCCTTCCATTCGGACACCAAAGCCGACCCTCCCCCGCCCTCCTCTGCGTCGCCTATCTGTGGGGTGCCCTCCTCCTCCCTTCCTCCGAGCCGTACGATCCCGAGGTCTTCCTCGCTTGCATCCTCCAAAACATCCTCCACGATATAAGTGGGTGCGAAGCCCCCTCTGCACCAAACGCGAAATTGGTGCTAGAAACAATCCAAGCCCAAGTCCTCCTGTCGTTCTACTACCTCGACACGGCGCAGCCTGTCCAGGGGCGAATACACGCAGCGGGCGCTGCCTCGCTTGCATTTAGTACGTCCCTGAATGAGTTCCGCCCTCAGACGGGTGCGCCAGACGAGATGCAACGCGTTAATGCGTTCTGGGCGGTTGTTACGCTGAACAATTTTTGGGTCGCAGCGTACGGTGGGCCGTCAGCTGTTCCGTACGGTGTGCGGATCGACACGCCGTGGCCTGGCTCTGTTTCCAATCAAGGCTCTGGTTCAATTTCGAGTTTCTTGAGCGGACACGATTCGCAGGGATCTGCTTTGGCCATAACCTATTTGATCAAATCCTCAGTTTTGTTGGAGCGGATCCTGGCATTTGTCGAGCGTGCTGGCGTCGGTAAGTGTATGCTTCGCATTCTTTTTCTTGGGAATGACTGGTTTGAGCAGGCCCTGCGGACTCTACGGCTTTTGCTACGCTCGATCGCAGGTTGCATACATTCCAAGCTGTCCTTCCACCTTTATCGCCTTTGCTTCAAGCTTCGCAAGCCGAGCAGGAACGCGCCCTGCTGTTGATAGCTCACGCGTTGGTGGATACCGCTGTCGTGCGGCTGCACATGCGTGCTGCGGAAAGCAGCGCGAGTGCAAGAGGCAAGTGCCTCACTGCTGCTTCGCGCATCGTCGATGCTGTACGGGGATACGCTGGTGTTGGGGTTAGACCGGATCCGATTATTGGAGTGCGTTCTGCTTCTCTCGTGCCCATTACTTCTCTTACGCCGACCTGCAGCCGATCTGCAGTGCCGCAGCACGCGTGTATACAACTGAACTGGGCGCCCTCGCAATGACGCATTCACCCCGCGCGGCCTCCAAAATGCGGGAAGTGGAAGACAGACTGGGTGGGTTGATGAGTGTTATGACATCGCTGGCGGGGTATAGTCCGCTCATCGGTGGGTCCTGCCTTGTTTCTAATTCCCTGGCTGATGAGAGGTCAACAGAACGCTGTATCGTCGATATTCAGGCTGCGTATGCGGGTGTGCACGGGATGGCTGCTACTGGATAGAGATTCCGATCGTTGATTTTTACTTGCCTCGTTATCGCTTTGACTACTCTACAGCGGTTGTAATACTAATACTGGTTCATGAAAAGATGCCCCTCTGCGTGCCCTAACTTTTCGTGACCTCCACAGTCATCATCCCGAGCCCTCCCGCGCATGCGGCATACTTATCGGGTCGGGTCGGATGGTGCAATGCGAAGACCCGGCAAGACCGCCAAGAGGCCGTTCTCTACGGTGGTTCATACCATCCCAAGGATCGCTGACTGACCGACTGAGTGACCACGACTGACTTACGGCCGGGGTTTATAACGTCCACCATGAAGGCAGAGCCACTGTACCGCTCGACACCCAGTCGACTCGAATGCCCATGAACCCATTCACACAAGGCTGCTGGCCCACCTCCACAAAAAACAATTCCATCTCAGGCTCAGGCCCCGGCACAGTGCCGCAACCCTCCCTCCTTGGAGCACTCTCCTTCCCCTCCCCAGTTATAGCCTCCCTGGAGGCGCAAACCTCACTCACATCCTTCCGCTTCACCTCGTTCAACCCAACGATCCTCAACTTGACTTTCCTCCGCCAATCTGACCTCCGGCCCTACTTTCGCGTGTGGACGGATCATCGGCCAGCGAAAGAAGGGTCCACGGTGGTTAACGACGAGGATAAGAAGCCTACGATTATCGTAGAGTGGGCGCCTGAAGATGGAGGCGGGCCGATCGTTGAGGTGAGGGACGTCGTGTCGAAGAGGAGGACGGGGGAGTGGTTGATTTTATCTGAGGACAAGAGGTGCGTTTACTCTGCTGAGGCTGAACGGAGTGAGCTGATTTTTCTCTCTCTCTCTGTACTTAGCTACCGGACGATGCGCGCCCTGGGCAAGACATTCATCTGGACACCTCAAGGCGAGAATCTATGCGTACGGTGCGCGAGTACTCTTCGCACGATATGTGGCTGATGTTCAATATTTCAGCTTTACGCTCCGGGACTCTGCACGCCGGAGTTATTCGCACGCGTCTCCCGCACGGAGGACTCGGTGTACTTGGATTTGACG